ACCCTGAATCCAGTAAACAATTACATTCAACACTGTTAACTGAGACTGTAGCTGTGCATCGCCCACCCACTAATCTTTTGGGAAGTTTTGGCACTGAATGAGCATGAACTGGCTTGCAAAAAAGTCTCTCTGTCCTTTCCTTAGAGGGACTTGGTTCTACTTTAGCACCTATCTGTCCCACGATAGGAGCTTCTACCGGTTTAAAGGAGGAGACTGAGCAATTGGCTTTGACATCTCCCACTCGCGCTGCTTCTGTCTAAGAGCAAGTCTTTTAGTTGCAACTAGTGCTGGATTTGGCTCGTTGCTACAGCTAGAAGCTATGTGCCCATCTTCTCCGCACTTAAAACAGTATCCAGGCTTTGGTCTGGGCACCACTGCTGTTATCTGCTGAATCTGTTTGGGCTCATCTGGAATTTTAGTCCCCACACGGGGTTTTGACTCTTTTTGAGTTTTCTTTGCCTTTTTATCTGTGTTGTTAACCTTAAGCTGTGCAATTTGGCTCCTGAGCTCAGCGATTTGTTTGCGTAAGTCATCACAGTTATCATCTATTTCCAGTTCACAAGTGTTTTTACTCTGAGAGCATGTTGTTTGCACATTTGAATACACTCTAGTTCGTTGTGCCCCTAAGTGTTGTTTCATGCGTGCTGCTTTAGTAGCCTGTTTGTCTTCTTCAGTGCGCAGTTTGAGGAGAAGTGCTGTAAAATGAGGCGGGTTGTCTTTCTTTTGTTCGAGTTGCAGGTTTGAAATCAGCGAGCTGTCCCAACAGCCTCTGCAAAACTGCTTGAGCAGCTGCTGGTCGGCGTCACTGGAGGAAATTCCATTCCTCTGAATAACTAGGTTTAACAAGGTGTATAACCTCTGAAAGTAATCGGAAGGTTTTTCACCACTGTCCTGGTTTGTGTTTAAGAAGCGAGCAAAGAGCTCGTCGCCGTCTTCGACAGCTGCGTAAGCTGAATCGAGATGTTCAAGGTACGTTTCCGGGTCGGATTTTGGACTAAGAGCTTTAACGATGCTCGCTGCTGGGGCTGACAGACTCTCCACGATCCTTCGTACAATTTGGGACTTGGTGAGTGAAGGATCATTTATGCATAACACTACACTACTACGCCAAGTATCATAGTCAGTTTCAAAAGAAGGGTGTGGAACTCGCCCTGAGAACGGTTTTAGTCTGTATTGTGAAGTAGGCGGAGGGATAACCTCACTGCTTTTAACAATGTGTTCCACAATAACTCGCTGAACCTCAGGTGTGTTTAAAAGATTTGGTGGAATGCAAGGGTTTTGTTTTCCAGTCTCTGTAGGTGGACAATTGTCCTTTGAGTTGTTCATATAGTTAACTTCTGGTGTTAAAGGCAGGGAATATGTAACTTGGTCACTATGGAGCATTGGCTCTGGTTCAGTGACTGGTTCAGATGCATGGGTATCCCTTCCTAAAGATTCCCCAATTTTTGCCAGTTCCTCCATTAGAAGGTCTTTAAATGATTGATTGCTACGCGCAGCTATGTCCCTGAGCTCTGACAGATAGGCATCAGTGGCAGATGTGCTAGTTTCTAGACTGTACGCGCTGGCTAGGTCTTGAATATGAAAGAAAACATCTGGGTTCCTAGTACAAGGTTTGTCATAGGGTAAACATTGTTTCTTTAATTCCTTAACAGTGGCTTCATGTTGAAACTCCACAATAATCTGATCACAGTTTGGTAACTTAATGCGCCTGTTAACTGGTCCGAATCCTTCCATAAACCCAAAGACTTCGTTATCAAGGTCTGTATCAGTTAACCCACTGATTAAAACAGCATTTGAAACTTTGACCTTTTCTGTTTTCACAACTTCCATTTTAAAACACTCAAAAGTACCAATAATGCCAAAATGGCAAACCACTGTGACCTCCAGGCACTCTTATGATGTCAGTCAATGGTTAGCTAAGGTAACAACTCTACAATTCTCCTGGCTGGCTCGCCAAGTTTTATGTAACCGGATTACAGGATACAATAAGATAATTAAAAGAAAAAATAAACAAATGGGCCAATAATTAGGTTCGGGGAGAATTGGAGGTTGTTTAAGAATGACTGGAGTCACGGGTATAGCATGAAACGGTTTATATACTAAATTTTAATAATAATGGGAAATATAACACATAAAGATAACACACAAAAACAGATGAAAACAATCGACAATAGTAAAATGGTCGGTATGAGATTTGATCATATGAGTCACAAGTCAGCCGGCGTCAAGTCAAATCCCCACGCTTGGGGTGAAAGTCAGAGTCCGGTGGTGCGATTTTTTCCTACCACACCGTTGAGATTGTTCACAGAAGAGAGCAGTCTGCTCTTCAGTTACTTGAGATGTCCTGGTTCGTTCAGTGGTTAAGGCTCGCCATCTCCCTCGTCAGGAAGAAATCCAGTTCTCGTTCCAAGTGAGTGATCATAGGAGTCGGGATCAAACCCAAGGAAAAAAAAAAAACCCAGCCTGTAAACAACAGGACTGTTAGCAAGTTGGCATCGACCCTTCTCGTCACATCACAGCATAAAGTCTTACAGACTTAAACAAATGCTTCACTCTATTGGCATAGCCAATCATGTTTGGGTTCACAGTTCAACTAACATAACATCAATTTGATTGTCTATTAAAATAATTCTCAGTAGCTCTGGAAATATAATTACATATGACAACAATTGTTCAGCTCAATAGGCTCAGTTAGATTCTATTACTCTACACTATTCAACAAGAAATACATTCATGACAACAAGGATACATTTAGTTGTGTTTCTATACAGCATTGTGACACCTTGTATATCTGTAACACAATAAATAAATAAATAAATAAATAAATAAATAAATAAAATGTTCTATAACAAAATTCAACAAAATATAAATTCTGGTCCTTTGGTCCACCTTTGTAAAATAATTCCTCCCTAATCAGTTAGCTTTTATTTATTTTTATTTATCTATTTTTTTTATTATTAAATGTTTGGTTAAGGGACGCATTGCTAATTCTATGGCGTTAGCTATAACGCCCCTGAGGACCTTGTACATCTAGGCCGTACCACCATTAACTGGCGGTTTGAGCCGTTAACTCCTGGGAATCCCATATGCCCTACCGCCGTTAACTGGCGGTTTGAGCCGTTAACTCCTATATGCCCTACCACCGTTAACTGGTAGTTTGAGATGTTAACCCCTGGGATCTAACGTCTAGCAGCCCACTGCTGTCACCTCGGTTGCTGTAATTAGCTTTTTGAATTTAATAATTTACTGAATTTAATCTCATTCACTCACCAACGCGCTCCAACGGTTCCCTCCTACAGAGGATTGGTTCACTCTGTCGTCTCCACACAAATCTATAAGAATGGAATTAATTTGATAAGCTATTTAAGTTTCCTTTTTTTTTTTAAGTTGCATCGTTAGCTTTTTCTCTTCTTTTTTCTTTACTCACCGCGTTGGTTCCAAGTTCCTAGCTCTTATTAGAAGGAGTCAAGTCCGCCTCTCCCTCTATCTATGCGGCACCCAAATCAGGGTTCTTCACGGCCTCGACCGTTGTTTTTTTTTCTCTCTCTCTCTCTCTCTAACCGCTCAGTCTTTGCTTTCTGTATCTGCGTGCTGCACAGCCGTTTGTCTCTCCTCTCGCTCAGCTGCGTCGCACGGTTTTATTTCGCGGAGGCGGGACTTATTTCTCTCAGCCAATGAAATTTCAGATTCCCACCTGGACCAATAGTATACAGCTTTCCTCTTCTGTTTCTGTTAGGGATGTTCAAGATTCTTGTTTTAACCGATGTTTAATATTAAACTCGTTATTTTAGTTATTCACCCTTCCAATAATTCATTATGAAATTATCTATTAGTTAATTAGATATCTATTAATTAGTATTGTTAATTTCCTTAATTTATATTTTATATTTTATCTAAATTGAGGATGGATCATATTAGTAAGCCAATTAGTTAATACCTCATTAAGGTTCTAGCTTCTGGGTTACATGCACAAGAGGACTGAGAAATGTTTCTAGAAAAAAGAAACAGGAAATCGTTCTTGTTTTTTTATATTGCTGAAGAGCAAGTCCACCGACAGACCACTTTCTACTTATTTTTGAAAACTGATCAGTCACTCTTAGTTTAACATGCAGGCGGAACATGAAAATAGTCTTCTCCTGCATCAGCCTCCAATAGAAAATAGACGAGGAGAAGCTCGGGTCAGAAAAGCTACACAGATCTATTAAATACAGGCTGTTTGCCATTTATGTCACACTGAAAGAAGAATGGACACATTTTTTCTTATCGAAACATTTAGTTTTCTCCTGATTTTATGCATCTGGTCCCTTCTAAATGATAAATGACCTGCACTTGTATAGGTCCTTTCAGAGTCATGACTCCAAATTACTTTACACATGAACGCCGTCTTTAAAAAAAGCATTTTTTCCCCTAATACATTTGCTGTGGTGGTCTCTAGTATATATGAAGGCCTGATGAACTCTTAACACTCCTGTTTTAGGAAGTAAAGGGGAGTGGGGAGCAGCACATTGCAGGTTTTGGAGTCTAATTTACTGAATTTCAAACATCTCGCCTCTGATTGGCTAACAGCAACGCAACTCCACCACTGACTCAGTTTACTTTCCAACGTTGATGTTTTGTCTCCACAAATAACACAAGCCTGAAGGAGTTCTGCCATGTTGTGGAGTTGCTAATGCTAATAGTTAGCTTCTACTAGCCAAGGCATTCTCTGCTGCTTTCCCCGTCACGATCCAAGAGGGGTGAGCCCATGAATGTTATTTACAGTGACGTAGATCTGTCAGGCTTTTCTAATTCGCGTCTTTGCCTGTCTATTTTCTGTCTTTGACCAATCATATTTCAAAAAGAATGAAGTAAAAACTGTTTCCCAGTGAACTTTTGTCTTTAAGGTTTTCTTTGCTCTGTTGTAGCTTTCCAGTTCAGTGCACACAGTTTAATTGCCTTCAGCATTAAAATATGGGGAACATTAACTATCAAAGGTTTCCCCCTCATTCTCTTGTCCCTAGGGCATCAAACACCAAGACTGAGAAGATCATGAAAGAGCTGGATGAAGAGGTTACTTTTTCTCTTTTATTACTCACTGGAATATTATACATCTACATTAGCAGATTTGAAAACCATTACATATTCACTGAAACAGCCACACAGGTTTTTTTTTTTTTTATCTTTTATGGTTTTGCCAGCAACAGTGTGATGTTCCCATTCAGCAATAAATCAGAATATGTTCCTGTTTAGCATTTTTAGCTTGAGTGAGGATCAGTCTCTGCTGTATCACAGCTGCTCCGGTCGTTCTTTGCTGCAGGCAAACCTGAGGAAGAGTGCAGAAGCCAGCGTGTCTCTGCTGGAGAAAGACAAGCTCATGCTGCAGCACAGATTCACCGAGTGCCAAAGAAAAGCTGACCAGGAAGCAGAGAAGAGACGCAATTTGGAGAACGAGGGTAAAGATGGCAACGGCTGCTGATTTAGTTGTTAAGTAGTTGATGTCCTGGTCATATATGTCCCAAGCAGGATCTTCATTTTACCACAGATCACAGAAATCACGAAGCTCATTCTAGTGTTTTCCTGTTGAATAACTACAAATGACAGATATAAACAGACTGAAAATTTAGTTAAACGTGTTCTGCAAATGCATGTTTTGATAAATCAAGAAAGAATTCACAAACAAATTTTGGTTTTATTGATTAACTTTATTTTGGTTTAGTGTCAACTTTAAAGGAGCAGCTTGAAGATATGAAGAAGATCAGTCAGAACTCACAGGCTTCAAATGATAAGATTGCCCAACTCCAAATGCAGGTGTGTAATCAAAACAGCTATTTTTTTAACATTATTCTCTAAATCTATTTAATTCATTGTCCTTTGTCCTGGTTGACAGCTGCAAGAAGCAAATGTCTTGCTGCGAGCGGAATCGGACACTGTTGCAAGACTGAGGAAGAACAACGGGGAGTTGACGCAAACGACGAGCCAGTTGGAGAGTTTGAACCGTGAGCTGCAGGAGAGGAGCCGTGCAGCTGATGCAGTGAAGGCACAGCTGGAGAAGGAGCTCCTGCTTCTTCAGAGCACGTTGGACTCAGAGCGCAGGAACTACAGTCAGGGCTCAGAGGAGATTAGTGAGCTGCAAGGTGACTTGATGACACTTAGGCTGGTCGTTTATCCAAAGTTGGGTCACATCTATGACTGGATTTTTTGTGTTGTAGTCATAAATCAAGTTATAAGGGAACAACACTTAACATAAATGTTTCACTTGCAGCAAGACTATCTGGACTACAAGAGGACAGCAAAAACTTGAAGCTCAGCCTCTCCAAAGTGGAAGCAGAACGCAAGCAGGCCCAAGAAAGGAGTAATAACCTGGAGAAGGTACACGCTTTAATAGGGGTAGAGTGATATGTCGTATGGCCAATATTTACTGTTCCTTTATACGTCGGCGTTGGCTGACACTTGTCCTTAGTAAAGCAGATTAAAAGTCAGGAGCAACCTCGACAGCCCAGTGCTGTTGCAGAATTTAATTTAAATGTAATTTATAATAAATAGTCTAAATTAACTTTATTTAGGTGTTTGACTTTAACATTTAGCAGTGCACAAAGTTACTATTTAAGTTAGTTAAATTCAGTTCAAAACTGGTACAGCTTTAGAAATTTTGTTTATCAACTTATGTTATTAGAGATATTTCAGCATGAAATTAAGGTGGAAAATGTCTAGATATCTGCCATGAAAATCAGCAGTGCGTATCGGCCATCAGCTTACCATGTCTCCTACATGTTGGCATCGGTACCTGCAATAGAAAAAACCAATGTCTGTTGACTTATGTGCTATGATGTCAGCCGCGTGTAAAGTTCAAAGTTTTAATAATTGGCTTTTAGTCTAATCTGTTTTTTTATATTCCCTCCCTACAGGAAAAGAACAGTCTGGAGATTGACCTGAACTACAAGCTGAAGACGTTGCAGCAGCGTCTGGAGCAGGAGCAGACGGAGCACAGAGGGACCCGAGCACAGCTCACTGACAAATACGAATCTATTGAAGAAGCCAAATCAGCTGCCATGAATGGTATGCTGGTCCCATGTCCTAGCATGCACCCTCCACTTTCCCTTCTCTAATATATTCTTCAACTGTAGTTTTTTTTTCACCTCTTAATTCCTTTCTTCTTTTACTTTTTCTTACATTTTTTCTTGTGAAAGGTTGCATATATCTTATTTCTCACTCCATCACTTTGTTTCTACTTCATCTTTCTTTTCTCTGTGATCTGAAGTCCCCTTGAGGTGCTGTTGGGTTTAGAGGAATTCAGGTGCAGGCTAGTGAGCGTGTCGAGGCGTTGACTCATTGCATATTAAATTAAAGTAGCTTTCCGGAGTTTTCTACTTTCAGAAATTATGTATGGTTTTTCAGAATTCCGTAAAAGTGATAATCTTATCATATACTGTGATATAATGTAAGCTTTGCGTCTTTTTATGTTTTTTATTTTTGCAATTTGTTTTGCTAAGCACGCCCCCTGCCCCGCAGAGCTCCGTGCAGTAAGAAACTGAACGCCGACCAGAACTAACCAATAGCGTCAGACTACTGCTTAGATGCTTCAAATTTAAGGAATACTTCAGCTGATGCAGAGTTGATGAACTTTTCACAGACAAGAAAGTCTTTAAAATATAAATATATGAAAACACAACATGACATGAGAATAATACTTGTAAAACGACGTGTTCTAGCTCCATTTGTCAGCTACAGAAGCACATTTATGAACAAGAAACGTGACGTCGCCATCTTAAAAAAACAGAGCGACAGACTTTTTGTGTGAAATGCTTGTCAGCCACTAGATGGTGCCATCGTATAGGAGAAATACTCCGGAAAGAGACTTTAAATGATAATGTTGTTCAGGTTACATCTTCCTTTTTTTGTGTCAAAGTAGATCCAAACAGAACAGCAACAGTAATTACTTAATAGAAAAGAAATCCTCATTTTTAAGCATGAAAATCAGCTTTACTTGCATGTCTGGACATTTAAGCAATATTGTGGAATGTTTTTCTCAGTTTACCTCCCTGCTCGGGTATTACTAGTAAAAAAAATCCTCTGTTACTCTTCTGCTCCAGCTGTTCAGCAGAAGATGGGAGAGGAGACCGGAGCGAGGATGCGAGCGGAGAGCCGGGTCCTGGAGGTGGAGAAGCAGTGCTCCATGTTGGAATTCGACCTAAAGCAGTCTGTGCAAAAAATGGAGCAGCTGATGAAACAAAAGGAAAGGCTGGAAGAAGATGTAAGTGAAAAATCTTGTTCATATGAAAGATTTTTATTTTTTTTCTTAAATGTACACATTTCCTCTCTCCCCAGGTGAAAAGTCTGCGTATGCAGCTAGAACAAGAGTCAAGCAAGCGTTGTCTGGCTCAGAATGACCTTAAGATCCGCATGCAGGATGTGGATCGTCTAAGGTGTTCAGAGAAGCAGCTCAAGCAGGAGATCAACACGGCACTAGAGAGCAAACGCTCCCTGGAGTTCCAGCTGGCACAGCTGACTAAGTATGTTTCTGAAATAAAACAAATAACTCAGGTGTGAAATATGTTTACCTATTAATTCAATTCAGTTTATTTATAAAGCGCTAAATCACAACAAGAGTAGTCTCAAAGCACTTCATAAAGTAAACATTCCAACTGATCCTACTTATCAACTGATGGAGTTCAGTTCATTATGGAAATTTGGTAAAATTTCCTATATAAGGAAGCCCAGCAAATTGCATCAAGTCACTGACTTTGTCAGACTGTACAGCAATTCTCATACTAGGCAAGCATGTAGCAACAGTGGAGAGGAAAACTCCCCTTTAACAGGAAGAAATCAACAGATCCTGGATCAGTATAAGCAGCCATCCACCACAGCTCACTGGGGATTTGATAAGACAGAACAGGTGAACTAGTAGTAGCACTTTCTATGATTGAGAAAGTAAAGAATTGATATCCGGGGAGCGAGGTTGTGTAGTGGTGTGCCAGCCGGCGGCCCCCTTCTGGAAGGTGTCACAGCTCAGCAGAACACCCCCATTTATCAGACGTTCATAGAAACTGTCCTATAGTCCTTAAAACTGATGACATTCAGAATGTTGGTGCAAACGGACAAAATTCTGATTTATGAAGCATGCGGTGATCAACCCACGCTCCTCAGGAAGAAACCTCCAGCAAAACCTTAGACTGTTGATAAATCCCACCTGTACTCGGGTGCTCTTGTCCTCATCATTTACATACAGAAACACCCTCAATAACAGTATCTGGTCACTCCACATCCTCAGCACACGCGGGAAATCCCAGAGTTCCTCCTGGCCAACAAAAAAAACAATGTGAATGACCGCAAAATCAAGGCACAGGTTGCTGAAGTTTAAGTTCACTCAGGTCAGGAGAAACCAGGAAAAGAAAGAATAATGCCTGGGAGAAAGTGGCAGAGGTGGTAAACGTGGTTGGTACAGAGGAGAGGTCCCTGTCAGAAACATAAAACATTCACACTTTACATTTGAGTTGTGAGCATGTTCTGTTTGGAGATGTCTGAATGCAGAGCTGTAAAGTTGTCAGTCAGTCTGGTTACCATGGCAATGCGTGTATGTTTGGATTTGTCAATAATTCAATGTGGACTGGAATCAGATTGATGCTTTTTTTCTGTCAATCCACAAAGGGTCGTAAATCCCAACATAGCTGCAGAAGGATCTTCAAGAAGTGATATCTGATCAGCAGCCCATTGGATTCTCGCCAAGCAGATCAATGTGCTCACAGTTCTATTCAATTCAGTTCAGTTTATCTATATAGCGCCAAGTCATGATGAGTCGTCTCAAGGCACTTCAATGAGTAAACTTTCCATTTGAGTTCAGTTCATTAAGCCAGTGAGTAAAAAGTTTCCTTTATAAGGACCTCAGCAGATTGCATCGAGTCACTGACTAGTGTCAGTGTCTTCACAGCAATCCTCGTACTAAGCAAGCATGTAGCGACAGTGGAGAGGAAAACTCCCTCACAGAAGACTTGTTTCCTCCAGAGTGCACCAAATCCTCCTGTAACACAATTAGAGAGTAGTGGCAAAAGAAAGTGTGGAAAGTGGTCAGTAATGATTCCGTGGTCACCTTTTTCACACCTTTTGAGTTTGCAGGTATGACTATCTCATAAAAAAGTTTTAAATCTAGTCTTAAAAGTAGATTATTAATTCCAGCAGCGTTGTCAGTGATGAGAATTTTAAAAGTCCTAGAAATGATCAACCTGTTTATCAAGAAAGTGGATTAGTCAGCAACTCTGGAGCAGGTTAATGCAGCCGGGACGTTCACAGCAGCGGTGCTGGACAGTAATTCTCTTAAGAAGTTAATGTGCAAATTGGCTGTTATTTTCTAATAAGCACTGTGACTCCAGCTTAGAGCCGGAGTGTGCCTCGATGTTTTCACAACAGGATTAGGCTTTACACTCAATCCCGCTCCAGCCACTTATTTACTAATCTTCCGGCCGGCTCATTCAGCTAAAACTGCTGCTTTTTAGACTCTGTTCCTTTTTGTTGATGTGTTAACAGACAATATCGAGGCAACGAGGGACAGATGAGGGAACTTCAGGACCAACTTGAAGCCGAGCAGTATTTTTCTGTGAGTATAAGTCACATATTTAAGCATTTCCGTTTTACTTGTTTTGGTGCAAAACCTGAACGTTTGTTTTCTCTCCTTTAGACACTTTACAAAACTCAGGTCAAGGAACTAAAAGAGGAGATTGAGGAAAGGAACCGGCAGATCCAGGAAACACAAAAGAAGGTGCAGGATTTGTTGAGTGAAAGGTAAGGAGTGATTTATGGAGTTTTCAGTTTGCATTTGTTTAGATTTTATGAGTCAAAAGTCTAACTAGGTGGCACCTTTTACCTTTGACACAGGGACTCCCTGTCTGCTCAGCTGGACCTGACGGTGACCAAGGCAGAGTCGGAGCAGCTGGCTCGGGCTCTTCAAGAGGAGCAATACTTTGAGCTCATTCAGGAGAACAAAAAAGCAACAGGGAGACACAAGCAGGAGATTGAGGACAAGGAGGCTACTATTGCTCGGGTGAGGAGAAACCAGTGGATCACGGTTTTATTTGCTTTAGAGCAGTAATTGAACAGGGAATTCATCACTTTCTAATTTCTGCACAGCTTGAGGAATCAAATAAAACTTTAACCAAAGATGTTGAGAACCTCAGCAAAGAGAAAGCAGAGTTAAATGAGAAGCTCCGTGTCCAGGAAGAAGGTTCGCTCAGCTTCCTGAACTTTATCATCTCGTCATACAATCATTGGTTATTGCAAACTGTTTTTTCCCTTTAAGAATATGCAGAGCAAAAGGAGGAGGCTATAAATGCAATCAAAGCCAACTATGAAAAGACCCTCAGCACAGAACGGACACTGAAGACTCAGGTGGGCGAACGGAAGCAAAACGCTGCTGCACCTTTATGGGAAAATCAGCCGCTGACGCTTTGCGTCTGCTTCATTTTGTCAGGCGGTCAACAAACTAGCAGAGATCATGAACCGTAAAGACATGAAGCTCGACCAGAAGAAGAAAGGCAGCACGGCGGATCTACGGAAGAAGGAGAAGGACAACCGCAAGCTTCAGCTGGAACTCAATCAGGAGAAGGAGAAGTTCAACCGCTTGGTCGTCAAACACCAGAAAGAGCTTGATGAGATGCTGGCTGTGGGTTGCCCTCTCAACCTCTCTGTCTAATAATCCAGAGTCTTTGGGTTTTAATCCAGGTTTCTTGACTTCACAGCAACTTGCAGAGGAATTCACGTACCGCAACGAGCTGCAGATGCAGCTGGACAGCAAGGAGAGCGACATCGAGCAGTTCAGAGAGAGGCTGAACGATTTACAGCAGCGGATGGAGAATTCAAGCGTCACCAGTTTGCAGACAGATGAAACAGACAGTAACACCCCGGGTAAGCTCTCCTCTCTGGAGCCACTGTTACTTTTAATGATTCCTAAAGAAAATCTGCCCAGTGTTATTACATTTGTGTTGTAGTAAAGCCAAACTGCACACCAAACCATTTCGTAAATAAACACAAATGTCCTTTGCTGTGTTTTCATGTGTGTGTGTGTGTGTGTGTGTGGAGTTAAATCACTCTCTCTTATTTCCCTCATGCCCAGTTGGTTCTCCTTGCTCTTCTTATCTCTGTAACTCCCATTCGTTTTCCTCTGTGAGTAACTCGGCGGATGAGCCCTACGTTGCAGCTGTTGTGTGTCGTCTTGGTTTTTCCCTGATTTTATTCTTTTGCCAGCACAGTCCTGAGTTTTGTTGGGACGATTCCCCCAAAATATCTTTGAATGGAGCTTGATAGATCAGGTGGAGCTTTTGACATTTTAGAGCTGATTGATTGGAGACACTAACGGTAATGTGCCGAGGAAATGCTGACGCAGAACCGTGTATCGCAAGCCCAACCTCTAGCGTACTGACGACATGCCGTGGGTTTAAACACGAGCCGACACTTCTGCCATGGCGCTGTGTTCTCCACACCAGGGCTGCAGCTGTAGAATATTTTAGTGTTCGAATATTCTATCGAGTTCTCTGTCAATTTATCAAATATTCTATTTGACGACGTTTCAAGTGAAACTAGATTGTGGTCTGCTGTTAAAAATATGAAAACAAAACATTATCAAAGGCTCAATAATATGTATTAAATTAATGTTGTCTAGTTCCCTTTTTCCCAGCTATAGTTAGTTAAAATTTTATGGAACAAAGTTTGACTTATATTTCATTAACATTTAATGTTTGTATTAATATCACCGATCCTAGTCTAAATAACATATCTAAATAAATCCACATATGATCAGTGGAATGGAATTATTTCATTACCATGCTCAATAGTACACTACTGCTAATAACGTTTAATTCTACTTGTAACAATGTAATGGTGGCATATATATTTTATTCTAAACGGGTATGCAACATAATCCAGTCTAAATTGTATTCAAATATAGAAGTGTTTGTGAATTACATGCTACAATGGTTTGCCATAGACGTATACAGTGTATGGAGCAGACTCGTAGCATCGACCCAGACTCCAGGTAGCAGCTACGGTTCTGCTCCACACCGCTGCAGACCTCCATAACTAAACGGGATGTTGGGGTTTTCTCTTCCACTGGTAGTTTAGTCATTCACAACCATCGTGTTTCTTCTGAACCACACTTGATCGTGAGTGTGCTACGCACTATCATTCGCATGTCTGCTCGTAGTTTCACTCTTGATCCTAAACTGTGGACCTTTTCTGCCTTTTACAGTGGTTTCTGTCTTTACTGGTTTCTCCATATTTCACCGCAGCACCGAAATTACCACATTGTTTGCCAGTAAAATGTGTTTAGACTGTGGAGTGCACATTGAACAAAGCTTTGAATCGGTAAAAGAAAAGAAAAAAATTGAGGAATTTAATGAGTCGAACCATTGGAATCATTTGATGATTAGTTTCAGCCCCACTCCACACACTTGTGTTTTTGTGGGCATGTTCATGAGAAGTTCTCCCCACTTGGACACTCCCCCCAGAGCCGCTTTAAGTTCCTAGATCCTCTGATGCTTGTGTTTTCTCTGCTGCATGCTAATCCAGTAGAAGCACCAAACGATGCAGAAATGTAACCTGCTGATGCACCTGTTTAATTCTGTGAATGGACTGACTGATAACGCTTACTGAACTCTGGCTGCTAAAGCATACACACACTTAGTCTCATACACAACTATGAAATGGTTGCTCCTGCATGGGGTATCTCCAGTCCCGTCACCTGCTTTCCTGAGGAGTTTATTTTTATGTTTGAAGTAGCGTGGTGCCAGAACCTTTTGACTTCTGTTTTTCTCCCAGTTGAGTTTGGATTTAAATGCTGCATGGCCTTTTCTAGCAGCCTTTATTCACTCCGCATTTATTCATTTTTATTCTCTCTTTTTTTTTTTTTTTGGCAATTTCCTCCTCAGAGTCCAGATTGGAGGGCTGGCTGTCCATTCCTAACCGTGCTAATATCAAGCGATATGGATGGAAGAAACAGGTACGCCTGCTTTTTGTTAGGAATTTTCCTACATCGGACGCCGCTAATCTTTCAACTGCTGTTTCTACATTTGCAGTATGTGGTTGTGAGCCGTAAGAAGATTCTGTTTTACAATGATGAGCAGGACAAAGAGCAGTCCACTCCCTCTATGGTGCTCGATATCGAGTGAGTATCTTCATGTTTGTGTTTCAGAAGGATGTCCGTTAAAAGAAAAGTTGTCTTTGGAGCAAAATGGGAAATAAATGTGCTTCATAGTTTTGTTTCTTCTTCTGTAGTAAACTGTTTCACGTGAGACCAGTCACACAAGGAGATGTGTACCGTGCTGAGACAGAAGAGATTCCCAGAATATTCCAGGTTGGGCATTCTCTTTCACCCTGCCTGTCGTGGCGTTTTAGCTTCAGGGTCCTGTTAGCAGAATTTCCGATTCTGTTTTTTGTTTTTAGATTTTATACGCCAACGAGGGCGAGTGCAGGAAGGAGGCTGACATGGAGACGGTCCCTCAAGGTGACAAAAACTGTCTCCCACACAAAGGCCACGAGTTCATCCCCACACTGTATCACTTCCCTACCAACTGCGAGGCCTGCTCCAAGCCTCTGTGGCACGTCTTCAAGCCGCCTCCGGCCCTAGAGTGTCGCCGCTGCCACGTGAAGTGCCACAAGGATCACCTTGACAAAAAGGAGGAAGTTATTCCTATTTGCAAAGGTAAAAGCGCCAGTTGGATCGATGTAATAAGAAGCAGTACGGTGTGTGTTTTTTGACGGGGTATTTGATGCAGGTAATTTGAATCATAACGGTTTTTAAAACTCCTCACAGTTAATTACGATGTGACCTCTGCCCGGGACATGCTCCTACTGGCTCTGACCCAAGATGAGCAGAAGAAATGGATCACCCACCTCGGAAAAAAGATCCCTAAAACCCCTCCAACATTTAATAGAGCCCCGTCCATTCGCCCTGCATCCAACCAGTCCTTCCGCAAGAACCCTAAAAGCAACTCGGGAAAGCTGAGGTAACTTTGGATCATGGCTTATATTCTTTCAGACACTGATGTTGAAATAACCATAACTACATATACCATTTATTCCCGGCAGTAAGTGAGGATGTGCTCCTGTAAAACCTTAATTTTTTTTAATCTTAATTCCCAGCTGAAGGGCTAAGATTTGTTCAGCCAGTCACGTGATCTGCTCTTTGTTTCCTGTGTTGTAGCCGAGCGCAGTCCAGCCTCCATGCAGCAGACACAACATCCAGCACTTGTTGACAGGAAGTTCTTCAGAAAGTGTTGATGTTGCTTGAGTTCTTTTTTGTTTTAGACTTTCCTCTAAAGCTTTAGACCTGTGTTCATTCATCTCACTGGGTGTTTCTAACTTGAGACACTTCCTGCTTCATTGGTTGGTTGGTTGGTTGACTCCTGGGCTCTGTGCAATTTACACTTGGGATGTTTCTGATTGGCTCTCATGTGTTGGTTAACTAACTTTTAGGCTTGCAGCTTTCAATAGAATCATACAGTATTATGTATTTTTATTTTAGCCATGATATAAAGTTGCTAATGCTATCGTCCAGCTTCTCTGCTGTCAGACGGGGCTACTAACATGTCTTTTACTGGACACCATCTTTTTTCTTTATTTTTCAGCTAACCATCTGAACCATTTGGATTTGTTTTTCTGGACTAAACTTTTCTTCTTCTGTCATCTACAAAAATGGAATTGTAATAAAAAAACATAAAATAAAAAAATGACAAGCCCTGGGAAATTCTGGCAGAAGGCATCACGGACTTTAAAAGACTGATTTTCCTCCGTTTGAAAGAAAAGCATCAATCAACTCGACTAACTTGCAGTTCTCCATTTCTACAAGAAGATGGCGCAATTGACTGGATTTCCTGATGGACTACAGAGTGATGGAAGGACTGATGTTCTGTGTTTCATGTTTTTGTAGCAGATGTTCAGGAGAATGAAAAAGGGCTTAATCTGGATTCCTGCAGGTGTGTTTTCAGTGTAGGTACTGTCAAACAGGGATTGTAGATCTGCAGTGATGGGTTGCATCTCAGGGGTGGAAAATAAATCTAGTCATTTATTCCCCCACTATACGGATATTTGAGCTAAACACAAATAGTTTCCACATAAAAAAAAAGAACAACTGATGCCTTCATCTAGTGTCTCTGGCCTTTTTTTGTGTGTGTTTTTTTTAATCGATTTGAAAGTCAGTTATCAGTTTTAGGGTCGTATAAAATAACAGATGTTCTTGAGCAGCAAGCGAAGAGCATACAAGGTCATCATTAAATCTATGCATTATTTTATTGCTCCAAGCCATAAGGAAGCTTGTTGTAATGGCGCGCAGGAGTAGCAAAACTAAATGGATTTTTTTGTTTATTTGGTACATTCTCTGTAATATTTTTTTGTCATGTATATATATTTTTTGTAATGTATTGCCTTACATTGATCCATAGATAAGAGGCTCAAAAGGACATTAAGTTAAAATGTAAATCTGCACTGTTTGACCTGACTGTAAATTATTTGTAGAAGACTAAACAGGTGTAGCATTTGGCCCACCTTGTGCCTTAATGTTCGGATATTGATTTTACTGCCATATTGTTATATTTTTTTCATTGTTTTCCAACGCAAAACAAATCTTAAATCTTCCATCTTTATTTTATTCCCACATATTAGTGGTTTTATCAGGACTTTCTTTATCTGACTTATTAATAAACTGTTAGTTTACTTTTGCACCAAAACATTGTTTTAAATCAAACTTGGTTCATATCATATAAGCATTTTCAAGAGTTTACGTAAAACTAGTCATCACGTGTGAATGGTTGTCATGTTAAAAATGAGTTGTTTCTTCAACATAATGTCAAGTTTATGCAACACCCCCACTCAGTATATATAAAGAGAAAAGGTTTATGGAATACCTCCACATTCTTTCATTTGTGTTTTTTTTCCCCAAGTTTAAAAAAAGAAAAGAACAAAAAAGCACTGGAAGTATGATCTATTGTCACAAAAAAATTGCATGGTAAATCTGCATTGAAGTTCGCACTGATGGATATGCCAATAAACATATCTTTATCATATGCTGTATATACATATATGCTATTGTTTTATATCTAAACATCTTTAGGATTGCCTCAGTATTCATACAAGGGAATAATGCAAAGCCATTTGTCTTTGGAAGTTTAATGTTTAACATTTGACATTTTTATTGTGGTTATGAAGAAAGTTCTGCATAAGTCTACTTATTATTTCTAAATATGTTATCCAGTCTAGCCATAAAACAATTCAACGTTTAGTTTGGTCTCATTCCGGAGATATGGTAAGATCTGTTTGAATATCATTTTACATATCTCTACATTTCAAATTTAAGAATTCTGTCATTACTAAATGCTTTCATACATCCTCAGCCTAGACTGCAGCAGGGCAACTAGTAAATAGTCGAGTGCATCGATGAGTTTCCAGCGTGTTGTTGCAGCGTCATCCTGTTTGAATGAAGTTCAGCCCGAGAACTAGCCACCTCCTGATTCGCGCCCCACTAGATCAAAACAGGAAAAAATTGAGACTTGAGGAGGTGAAAGATTACCAGCCATGCCGGTGTTTACAGGTACGATGTTATTTTGCAATGTAACAATTTTTGTTGACAATCTTAATAAGAACGAAACTTAACACGTGTTTATTAAGCCAGCGTTTATTACACGATTAGCTTAGCTGTCTAACGTGATGTGCTGTTAGCATGCTAACTGTGCATAGGGAAGCCATCAAAACTTAGTTTCGCGTTATTATTTAACGGAACATTGCGTGAGGTCAAATAATAGAAAAGGGTTACATATTTGCCGTTTGATGTTTCCGTCTTGAGAGTATTTTCGCGATGTTACCCAACACATTTGACGAACCAGACAACAGCTAGCCTACTTAGCAAACTGTTAAGTAGGGGTTTTTAACTAGTTGTTTTACAACCGTTATTTCTCATTACAGACATTTTAAACAAGTCCGTGTCATTATAGATCATTTTGATTTTCTGTATTTTGAGCACAACCCAACCGCCTTTTGTTGTAACGTTTAATGTTCTTGCAATGCTAATGAAGCTAGCCTGATTTTGACAGTTTTCCTGCGTTGTATTGATGTGGCTTGGCAGGGATTTTCTGTTTTAACTGCGATTATCAAACATGTCACTAAATCATCACATTAAAACAAATTAGCTGCTGAAGAACACCCTAACTTATTCAAAGGTTTGTGCTTTTATGTTTTTAAAGCAACAGTCAGCTGGGCTGCCCTGTTAGCTGCCTGATTTTTATTTTTCAGGACACCACAGTTGCCAGATAGATGCTGTGTCATGGTCCCAGACTGGTGGCTGTAGTTGTTTATACATCATTTTATTTATTTTTTCTTGTAGTTAATGTGAAATGGGGCAAAGAGAAGTTTGATGCAGTAGAGCTCAACACCGAGGAACCACCCATGGTTTTCAAGGCTCAACTATTTGCTCTGACAGGAGTTCAACCAGACAGACAGAAGGTCATGGTGAAGGGAGGCACCCTCAAGGTGTTAAAAATATTTGCATCCACAAATCCACACTGCATTCTAAAAGCTGTTAAAAATATTGCAAATCGTAATTTTCCAATTTGTTTTCTCCTTTCTAGGATGATGAGTGGGGAAACATAAAAATTAAAAATGTGAGTGAGTCACATTAATAAACAGCTAGCTGCACATAGAACATTTTGATGAAGTGCCTTCTAAACTAGCTTTTATTTGCAGGGAATGACTCTACTGATGATGGGCTCTGCAGAAGCCCTGCCTGAGGAGCCGTCTGTTCGGCCCATGTTTGTAGAGGATATGACTGAAGAGCAGCTGGCTTCAGCGGTATGTGAGGCTCACTATTACCAGCATCTCAGAAGGGGTTTATCAAATGATTTGGGCTATCTGTAACATCATTTACTCTGAAGTAAACAGAAGGATGACATCTTGTGTTACAGACTTTACAAGCATTTTCTTCAAGGTTTGAGTCCTTGTGATTAGGAATTATAGACTACTGAACGCTCAAACTTCATATCTGCCTCAAAAGATGAATATTTTTGTGAAATTTTAACGTTTGTGACTGTTCAGCATTAATTTGTGGAAGTGCAGTCATGGTAAAAAAGCAAGTACTCCCTCTTTAATCGCTTGTTGTCATGTTTAGATGGAGCTTCCGTGTGGATTGACCAACTTGGGCAACACGTGCTACATGAACGCCACGGTGCAGTGTCTACGCTCTGTGCCAGAGCTTAAAAATGCTCTCAGGAAGTATGTGATTGTGCTTAAGGGCATGGTATAGTCTGCTTATTTACGTTGAACACTTTAACACATTAAAAAACTATTTTTCAGTGAGTTGTCTTGATACTCTTTGCAGGTATACAGGTGCTTTGCGATCTTCAGGTGCAAATGCACCAGCACAATACATCACAGCAGGTGTGAGGCACGGTGAACTGCTCACTTTTTTTTTCAGACATGCATATAAAGGTAAATCTATGTTTATCTTTTATTCTCAGCTCTTCGTGATTTATATGAGACTATGGACAAGACCTCTTCCAGCCTGCCACCCATTATTTTGCTGCAGTTTCTTCACATGGCCTTCCCACAGTTTGCTGAGAAGGGTGATCAAGGGCAGTACCTCCAGCAGGTAAGATGCTTTGTTGTGCGAAGTCGGCTCCTTAATAAGATTTGTTAATATCATGCTTTCTCACGTGTACAGGATGCCAACGAGTGCTGGCTCCAGATGATGAGAGTTCTTCAACAAAAGTTGGAGCCACTTGAGCCAGAGACTCCCATGGAGGTGAGGGAAAACTGGAAATTTGCTTCTAGTTATGTATCAAACGTGAACATGGGCATTTACGTGTTCAAGTCTTTGAATTACATGTTCCATATAAAAAAAACATAGCAGGGTTTATTTTCTGGATTTTTAGACTGAATCTGGGAGCGAAGCCGCCTCCGCCTCTTCAAAGAAGAACTTCATTGACCAGTATTTTGGTGTGGAATTTGAAACTACGTATCCTTTTGGAGCTTTTTGAAGTTTGGTTTAATAAATAGAAGATTTAGCATTAAGAACAAAATGACAGGTTTTGATCCTTAACTTTTGTCCAGCATGAAATGCACAGAGTCTGAGGAAGAGGAGCCGATCAAAGGCAAGGAGAGCCAGCTCCAACTCAGCTGCTTCATCAATCAGGAAGTCAAATATCTTGCAACAGGACTACGGCTGGTACGGCTGAATACAACTTTTATGCTTGGATCCAGTCAACACAAAGGAAATAAAATGTGTCTTGTTTCTGTTCCTCCAGAGACTACAGGAGGAAATCACAAAAATGTCTCCGTCATTGAACAGAAATGCTCAATATATCAAATCTGTAAGTAGAATTCCCCTTTGTTAGTAACAGAATTTTATGTAATTCTAAATTTATGAACACATCAGTGGTATTTTCCTCCTGGATTCTTTCCCCTTCGCTTCACCAGTCCAAGCTTAGCCGTCTCCCTGCCTACCTGACTGTTCAGATGGTCCGATTCTTCTACAAAGAGAAGGAGTCTGTCAACGCTAAAGTTCTTAAGGTTGGCCACCTTTGATTAGTCTTCTCTTGATTTTTAGCAGGCTTCTTTTTATTGAAGTCTTAACCTAAAATATTGCTTGAATGTGAAGGATGTGAAGTTCCCACTCATGCTGGACGTGTACGAGCTGTGCACGGCGGACCTCCAGGAGAAAATGTTGGCGGTTAGATCAAAATTTAAAGAGGTTGAGGACAAGAAGCTGGAGAAACAGCAGCAAAAGGTAACACTGGAATGATTTTACTGTAGATAAACATGCATTCTGTATATTCAAGTTCTTTTTTTCTTTTTGCATTAGTTGCTGAAGAAGCCAGATGCAGGAAAGGAAGTGAAATATGAGCCTTGCTCTTTCCCAGATGGTAGGCTCAGACTCTCACATTCAAATGTTGCCTAAATAAAACTCTAAAGAGGTTATTCAAGTCTAATTTAAATGTTTTTGGGATTAAAACGCATCCACAAACACTTGTTCTAGATCTCGGATCAAACAACAGCGGCTACTACGACCTGCAGGCTGTGCTGACTCACCAAGGTCGCTCCAGCTCATCGGGTCACTATGTAGGATGGGTCAAGAGGAAAGAAGGTAACCAGTAAGATGCTTCAGCGCATCGAGCGGAAACATGAACGCTGGGGACATAACGTTTGTTTTCTCTGACAGATGAGTGGGTCAAGTTTGATGATGATAAGGTGAGCGTGGTCTCACCTGAAGACATCCTGCGACTGTCTGGGGGCGGAGACTGGCATATAGCTTACGTTCTACTCTACGGGCCGCGTCGGCTGGAGATACTGGAAGAACAGTAGCTGGTGGGAGATTTATCCACACGTACAGATTTGCCATTTCCAAGCACTGTCTGCATAGATGTGCAATAAAACTGGTGTCTTTAAAAATTTGATGACCTTATTTTTGTTTTTTATTTGTAACAAACACATGCTTGTGTTAATTATTCAACCATAGTGTGCTTTGAAAATATGCCGAGGCAGTCTCTGGACCAGATCCTCAGAAGTTTAAAGTTCTGCAGTTTCACATGTTTTATAAACATTGTATCATTTTTTAAAAGCCTTTGGTAAGGTGATCATATAAGAGCAACAGGTCATTTTTAACGAGAGTCCAGCCAAGCTGCTGTCCTCGACCGTCTGGCTCGAGTCTGCAGATGTACGACTGAACTCTCGACCACCTTTTGAACCTTTGAGGTCGACCTCAGGTCTTAAGTGCTTGGCTCACATCATCTCCTGCGATTGTTCAAATGTATTGACTGATGTGGCCCTTTCTGCCAAATTAACGCTGTTTTCAGGGAAGTGTGAGTGTGGGGGGGATGGTTCAGGTCAGGTCGCCCTTGTGTTGAACCTTGTGTTTAAATAAAGACTTGAGATTCTGCGGGCTCTGAATGTTCTTCTCATGGTGATCTGAGACTTGTTTCCTGATCACTTCGCCACGGTGTGTAAAACCCAGAACATCTACACTCTGTAATAAGTTAACAGGTTTCTTTCACAGGTGGTGAAAATAAAGTGTAAAAGCAAAATGTGAGGCTGTTTTTGTCAACATAAGGTGGAAAACAAATAGGAAAAAAAAACATTTATTGGGTTTCTACAGTGGAAAAATGGCTTAACATGTACTTCCATACAAAAAATGTAAATAGGTTTTTGTATGACAAAGAATGTTGCAAGAAGGTAAGAAAGGTAGAGCTTAAGCCTCACTGAGGCCGTCTGCGATCTGAGAAAAACCAGCTGCATTTAGAGCGGAGACCAAATTCTCCACAGTAGCTTGTGTGCCCTCTCGGTCCTGCCATGAAACCAGCAGGAGTTTGGCCTGCATCTCAACATCTTCACTGTCCGTCTCGATTTCACGCAACTCTGCTGCCTTCATCTCCAAATGAGAGGCCAGCGTCTTCCACTGGGCACCCAGTTTAGCCGCAATGTCGTCCATCTGCTGGTTCGTTACAAGTTTGCTCTGAATGCTGGGACCTTTAGGAAAAAAACAAATATTTAAACTGAGGTTTTAAGTGTTCCAAATATGAAAATGGTATGTAAACTTGCTTTTATATTAAATATTCCAAATAATTCGGGTTTAAAGACAGTCTTGTTTCCAGGCGTAAGAAATCAAAAACCGATAAATCAAACTCACTGTCGTTGCTTTCTTTTAGAAGATTGTCTCCATTATCGTCGTCATCCTCTTCGCCTGTTTTAATTTCCTCTGAAGGGAGATCCTTCTGCATTTTTAGAGTGAACAGAAGCCTCATTCAATAGTTCGTTATTTTAAAATGACAAAATTGTGTTTTATTGTCGACAAATCTCTCACCGGCAGTTCTTTAGCCAGTTTGCAAACCATAGTGTCCAAGTAGTCTGCGAGGCTCTTGAACTTCTGGTTAGTCGGCTGAAAGAAGTGTGGACTCCTCCTGGACAGCAGCCTCAAGGCCCGCCAGCCGTAGTTCGGGTTTCGCACAACCCTGAAAGCATTTACACAATTAAAAAGAACAAAGTAAACAGGAAATGAACTTTTAAACTGTTTTTCAAGCAGACTTACTTGTACTCCTCCTCCACCATGTTAGCTGGGTCAGCCTGTTCGATGGCTTCAGCAAAAAACTCATCCAGTGACGGCATAAACTCTCTGAAAACCAAAACCAAACAAACTCAGATGTCATTTGTAAATGTATTTATATGACTGTGTTCTTGTAGTTATTTTCCATAATCGACTGACCTGCTGTCTGACTTGCACGCCTCCATGTTGTCATGGTTCAGGTTCCACAATCGGGTTAGCTCGTCACTAAAAACAAAACAATTTTTCATCCAAGTGGAAACCCAACTCTGGATTATCAAAAACACTAACTTAATTTAATTACATCTGGTGTTCTGAATAAATAAATCGGATTAGACTTTTCACTAATACATCCCATTGCTATTTGAAAACTTACTTTCCCATGAAAATCTTTCGGTCCGGCCCTTTTCCAAGGAAGTCCTCTGGAGCTTGTCTCTTCCTGGTGGGCCTTTTAGGTTTTTCGTCTACCGTTCTGTTTCAGAGGAAAACAAAAGAACTACTTGTCATTCTGACACGCTACTGTGAGTTCACACACTCACAACTGTTAAAACTGACCGGTGACTGCGTGAAAAATAAAGGAAAAGTCAATTTTCAGTCATTACCTTTCTTTCACAAAGCTCGGACATCCCTCATTTTTCCAGGCATTCCAGTTTTCCTCCGTGCTGAGCATGTGCTACGACAAATGAGACTTAAATGTAAACAAAACAGAAGCTAAATGTGAAAAAAAATAAAAAATAAAAAATACATCAGTATTTCTGTAGAACTGCTTACCTCAACCATGGTGGCAAACTTATCTCCATCAGGGGGAGTTTCTCTGAGGAGCTGCAAGAACAGATAAGTTACAAGTTGTTCTCTCAGTGGTTCACAGTGTTAATAAGAATAATAGTTTTATGAGGTATAAAAAAACTGTGATGTAAATGGAAATTGTCACAAAACCTCAGAAGAAGAACGGACAGATTTTTTTCGCAACAGACACGTTTTCTCCTGATTTCTGGTCCTACGTGTCTGAACTGACCTGAAACACCAGCTTAGTCGTCTCCTCAATCCATGTAGTCTGGTCATCATTCAGAGCACAGCTTGAGCTGTGTCAAGAAATCAAAAAGCATAAACATGAACTAATTCCATCCCAACAAGTGATATTTGTTTAGTTGCACAAATGTTCACCTTTTGAATTTGACCTGACCCTTCAAGTACTGGAACAGGATCAGGTACTGCACCAGTATGTGTCTCCGGAAGTTGCTGTCGCTGAGCTGCAAGTCCATCAGCTGCAGATTACAAAAAAAAAAAAAATCCCAAAACAATGAAGTTTAACTTTTAAGACAGAAAAACATATGACTTACAGCCATAGTCAGTTAAAAACTGCTTATTTATACATGATTAAAAGATTTTTAATGATTTTTCTGCACCTTTTCGCTCGTGAGAAACTTGGCAAAGTAAACCTGTTCACCATCAGACGCTCGCAGCTCCTCCAACTTCCTCTTTGACGCCTGCATGTCATCCAGTTTGTAGCTTTTGAACACAGCAAGAGTCTCATCGGAGTACTGAGCAAAGCAAAAGCAACACACAAGTTTATTTATTTTTTTATCCTCATCTTGGATATTGACAGTGATCCGTCAAATTGGTCAGAGTTGCTGCACCGAGGTGGATTACCTTAACAAAAGTAATCCATGAGATTTTTTCATAGCACTGCAACGGATTTCTAAAGTAGTCCTGCAATGTCCAGAACTTTCTGTACAGGTTGTAGTCAATCGGAATAGAACTAAGGAACAAAAGGGTACTATTATTTCATGAAGGTGAAAATGTGAGCAAATACAGCAAATGGTTTTCATTCACCACGGTGCCGGGGCGTCATCCTCCCCCATTTCTCCTTCCTCCACTTCCATGCCGTCTTCCTTTTCATCAGCGTGCTGTCAACATAGTAGCAAAAAAACAGATGAAACAGGATGGAAAGGATGAGCTCATTAACCTAATAATTAACCTAACAATACTTCACCTTCTGACCAAGAGTGCTTTCTTGTTCATTTTTATTGAACACGGTTATGTTGTCCAGATTAAACTGGCTTTGTAGATTGAGACCTGGATTAAAACACACACAAAATCTATTTAATTGAGAGGTTTACAATATGATTGTAAAGTGCTTTGATTTTTTTCCCCTTCAAGTTAGAAAAATAACTGACTTTCTTACCGGATTTTTCAGACAGAGGAAAGAGACGTGCCAGGAAAAGCTGGATTCTCCCACAGAATACTGTATTCTGGGATTTCGACAGCCTCCTTAAAAGATCTGTACAGATGAAACAAAAGTCACTTGCACCTGAACTTTCTGAGAATAGAAAGTCTTTTGGATGACAGAGAAAAAGACAAGATTTTTACCGTTACACATTCTCAACAAATAGTTCTTTCCTGCTGTGTAAAAAGAGCTCTGGAAGAAAGAAACAACACAGGTACAATAATGAAACCTTCTAACAAAAACAGAGAAATATTTTTGTTGCCTTTACAAAAAAAAATGCCTGTAATTATACCGATTTCCAGGTAGAGACATTTTCTTCAACAAAAGAGAATATTTTGTCACACAAGTCAAGGGGAAGGCAATCCAGAACGTCTCCCAGCAGGACAAAAGGAGTCGTAGCAGAACAGATACCTGCATTAAAAACAGAATAAATGTTACACTGTCATTTGTTTTAAGAGACGTTTTACCAAAACTTATATCAAAGCGATCCTTTCAACATGTATGTTTAAAATCCAAAATCATCTAATCTAAAATAAATATCCACCTCAGCAGTAGTGATAACATACCCTCAGTAACAGCATTGATGCTCTGGTAGATTAGAGACAGATAGTCATCACAGCATGATTTCTGCTCAAGCTAGAGAGAAACAATCATTAGCGATTCTCACATATTTTCAAATTTAAATTAACTAACTTATTAAACTTACAATCTGGTCACCAAGAACACTCCTCAAAGCCTGATCCAGTGTGGTCTTCTTTTCCGTCTCACTGACAAAAACACACAAGTAGTAAATTTGTATTTCTGGATTATTTTGATCTGGAACCTCGACCCAGGAGCACAACTTACTTGCCGGGGAGTTGGTTAAACACGGCGATTAGGGGTTTGCAGGTTTTACCAGCTAGTGCTTGTGTGCTTGCAGCCTACGGTTGGGTGAGCATGGGAAAGGACATAATGAGAAACAAAAGACGATGCAGAAGTTTGCTTCCGTTTTCAAGCTTCCGATTCGGGAAATGGCTAAGGCCAAGGCCACTCTCAATTTTTATATACGGTGACCATCTTTAATCTGCTTCATCTTAAAAACTACAATACCTAGACAGTTCAAACCTGGACGGGATTATTCTAGACTAATAGCAAATTCCATAAAACAGTTTGTGATTTGTGAAACTTCAAAATCTGCCTATTTTAAGTTTCACAAATCTGAAAAAGGTTTCACAAATCACAAACTATGCTTTATGGAATCTGCTATTAGTCTAGAATATTCCAGTCCCGGTTTGAACTGTCTAGGCATTGTAGTTTTTTTAAATAGAGCAGATTAAAGATGGTCATAGTAAATAAAATTGAGTGCAAATGCTCTTTAGCCAATTTCCAAATCGGAAGCTAACTTCAACCTCGTAAACAACAGGACCGTTCAGAAGCGTTTACTTTAGCTTAGCTTCTTTGGCTAACTACTACACTAGTACAACAAGCACAACCATAAAGTAGTGAAGTTAAGATTTTTTACGGTTTTATCAACAAGTTGTCTTACATACAAATATATTATGGATGGAAATGACAGAAAGAAGCCACTTCTCACCGAAAATTTCTCTTTAGCGTCGACAAAATTAAATGAGGACAGAGACATCTTTACGCTTCTGAAACCGGAACCGCCAACGAATCACTTCCGGTTATGAAGTGGCGTTTTTGTACGTAAAGGGAATTATCTGACAAAATTATACATTAATACATATTATCTATAAACGGAGTTAGGATAAAACTAACTTTGTATTTTTTAATTTAGTTTCAAATAGTTCAGTCAGTCACATTTTTATTTCCATTTTGGATGAAAAATGGAAATAAACCGTAGCATAGCAATCTTGACCACACGATGGCAGTGTTGTACACCATTGTTGCTGTTAAAGTTTTTCATTATTTTTTAATTTGCTTACATTCATCAAACTCTGAGTGGCTGTAAGTGATGGATGCATGGAAACCTTCTTCAAATGGTGAGTTAAAATTAGTATTTCTACTTCCTGAAAATAACAGTATTAATATTTATTTTAATCCTAATTTCCCCACTGTATGGTTTAGTTTGCCTTTTGGCCAGGACTCACTTAAAAAAATCTTACACTTGATTTTTATTTTAAAGAGTCATGTTCCAAACTTTCTTTATAATAATAATTACAACAACAACAACAACAACAATAATAATAATAATAATAATAAGTTGTGTCAGCCATTGAATACTTGTAAAATAACGTCACTCTGTTTATATTGTATGCATTTCAAAGTTATATTTATTTTAACGGAAAGAGCGAAATAATTTTTGTCCTTTCTTGTTAATAAATATTTGACTTTGACAGGTCACAATGCACAGCAGTTGTAATGTGTTTGTTTTGCATGTGTGCCTGTCTTGGTGTGCACTTCCACATGTTCTAATCATGCAAATGAACATTCAGCTATGTGCTGCAGGCCTTGAATCCTTTGATACCATCTGCTTGTCTAACAATGTCCGATTTGACATTAGAATAACCGCTCCATTACCCTGAGACAACAATCATTAAACTAAAGATTTACTCAACCCATGTGAGAACACTGAAGCTTGTTTTGATCCAGGTCAAGACCTCTAGGATTTACATACAAGGATGATCCTTTTCAGCTCCTTTTGATGGGTGTTTGTAACCTTTTTGTGACAGTGTTTTGGTGGCTGTGCTGATGTTAAGAGAAGAACAATGACTTTGTGAAGTGGAGGCGTTTAGTGTCACATGGAAGCAGGAGAGGCTCTATTTCCTTCACGTGTGTGGTTGTAGTGTTCATGAAAAAGGGAAGTGAGGAGTGATTTACTAATACCTATTTTCTCCCATCCCTTATCTTACTCAGAGTTCATCAGATTGTTGCCAAAAACTGATGAAGAGCAGAAAGGGAGTAAGCACGATGAGAAACTTGGAGATTGTGCTGGGAGGCACTCTTAAAAGTGATTTGTGCGTGGTTTGAGGTTGTGATTAGGGCAAGAAGATTGAGAAATCTTCTACATTCTACCTAAAATGGGTGATTTAATTAATTAATTAAATAATTTATTTATTTTGTTCAATTAAACTTCCCTAGATAATTTGTTCAGCTTTTATGCAACGAGTTTTCAAAAATATACCTCCAATTGCACCAAAAAGTAAAATGAACAAATATATTTAGGTTGCATGCTGAGGCTTAGTTCCATGTTTGCGAGGCACGCTCATCCCGCTGTCCGTGCCTGTAACTTCTACAACCTTTGACATAGTTTTGATAAGACACTGGTCCATATAGTCTAACTTTGTGGAAAAGATAAGACGGTCAGACTAGAAAAGGAATGAAATAGGGAAAAATATTTGATTGAGCTGCCATGGAGCAAAGATTGAAGAGGTCCTTCGCCCATGTTTGTAATACATTTGCAGTGGTCTATTGTAGGAACAAATGCCTTGTAAGTTGTACTCTGGGGGAAAAAAGCTCCGGTGCACCTGTTTCAGCTCAGAGAATTCAGCCAGAGGAGAAAGTAGGTTCAGACGACAGGAATGTGAGTCTTATTTCCTGATATTGGGACATCTCTCCTCTGATTGGCTAACAGCAACATGACCTTACCACTGACTCTGCTCTGCAACATTGATTGTTTCATCTCCACAATCCTGTAGGAGTTCTGCTGTGTTGTAGAGTTGCTAATGCTAATGGTTAGCTTCTGCTAGCTGAGGCGTTCTCTACTCTCTCCTCAACAACAGCCTTCCCCTTTCTGAGCCGAGATGAGTGAGTGAATGAATGCTACCTGACAACATAGATCTGACTGGCTTTTCTAATCCGAGGCTTTCCTCATTCATTTTCTATCGACGGCTAATGCATGAAATAAAATTAAAGAACTATTTACACGTTGGCGTGAAACTCCTTGTAGCCGTACATATTTTAAAAACAACAAGTAAACGGTTTATCAGTGAACTGGCTCTTTAAATAGATTATCTGAGATAAAGAAAAATGTTTGCAAAACTTTGACACTTTTTGATAAAATGACTAGTTTGCGCCACAAAATGAATTTAAACTAGTTCAAGTTCCTCACGTGTTTACTTTTCCCAGATGAAGATAATGAGAGGTCCACCGACAGCTCTTTTCTGCCGAGTTACAGACCAATCAGTCAGGATGAGAGCCAAATAATTTGATGAACACTCAGACAAAATGACCGAGGGGCAACAAAGAGAGCATTGTCTGTAGAGACAAACTTGTAAACAAGAGGCAAAACACAATGCCCTGACCCCTGAGGTCAAACACACAAAGGAAGGAGTTTTTGGACTGCCTGCTGTCACGTGGTTTCCTCTGAGACTCCACTTTATAAAACATATAACGAAGACTTATTTTATTGTTAGGAAGATGAAAGTAAACACATATGAATGAGTGAACATTCTGATTAAGGTTATTACTAAATTCAGCCACACGTCACATTTAAATTAGACCTTTTTTCATCCCTTCAATGCTTTTTCAATTTTTTGCTTCAAATAAAAATGTCCCCACATGGATTACATTCCTAATACTGTATTAAAGTTAGTTAATTTATTCATCTATGTCAGGTGACAAAATGCAAATCTCAGTTGTGTCACAGGTCATCATAAAAATTATTTGGGACATTTTGCTGACGATTTTTTTCAGAGGACAACACATTGGGGATGCAGTGATTATCCTGACTTGTCTTGAAGACAGCTGGGACTTCTGTGTATTCAAACAGCCTTGGTTGCATTTCTTTGGTGATAAATGCTCGATTATGCAGTTTAAAGTCATTTGACAGATATGCAATGATTAGCTAAGGGTGTGGAGGCCATCAAATACCCACGAGCCATAAAACTGGACGTGAAACAGCCAGGCCACGTGTGCAGATGGAGAAGCAGCATTCTTGTGACGGAGCCAAAAAGGAAATCTCCATCATGACCATCTTGTCTAATCATCACGATCTTTTATTGGAGATTGTTTGTGTGCAATTACCCGATTTACATCCTGCTGTTTTAAAACAAAACAGAAAAGAAAAACATTCTTTTTAAATTAAACTAATCATTTATAGCATGTCATGTAAAAATAAAAAATGAATTGAATCACAAAATTCATGCAAAACTATAAAAAATGATTCTGATTCATTCAGATTAATTTATTAATGACCACACAAAAAGTTGGTGGAATTTGTTTCCGGTGCAGCATGACATGCTCACAACTCTGTTTACACATGATGTAACAAAAAATAAACAGACAGAAACATTAGGCAGTTAATTGATTTAGTGTCAGTATAGCTGTTGGGAAAAATCTGTTTTTGAATCTAGTTGATTTTGTTTGTAAGGACCTGTAGTGTCTTCCAGAAGGCAATAGTCTGGACAGATGACGTGCAGGGTGAGAGGGGTCCAAGGTGACCTGTTGTATGATGTGTCTACGGTACAGCAGCTGCTGATTCCGCTGTGGGCCAGCAGTGGCGCTATTTCACCATCTTGTAACTGCCAGCCACCAACAAGAAAAAGGTGACGTCATTTGCCTTGTCCAGTCATACTCACAAAGCATCGGTAAGCCTAGCTGCTAGCCTGCCACGTAGCAGGTCTGTTCTCCAGCATGTGTTACTATGGTGAATACAGTAGCGGTTTTAGGCACGGGCAGACAGGGCAGTTGCCCGGGGCGGCATTTTTTCATGACACAAAAGGGGCGCACAAGCGCGGAGTAAAAAAAAAAAAAGGAAATCTGCGCCGCAGCGAGGTTTTCTATTATCTGTCATATGACAGTGTCTGGATTGGAAACAGCAAGTTGGCGCCCCCTGCAGTTGCAGGCGCTCCTGCTGACTGAGAACGTTCACGTGCACCGTGTGTCTATGAAGAACAGGAAGGGGAGGGGTGCGGCGGGGGAATTCACCTCTGCGTCTTTCCCAAATGAATGAGCGTGCAGGGGCTGAATCAACTGTATTAGCATTGCTAAAGTCAATCACATCTTAACGTTCTTCCATATTTCATTCATAATATCATAAACACAGGCCTATAATTCTTTCAGGTTTCTCTGAATTGTGTGAAATGGCCGAATAAAAAAAGGAAAAACAAAACGATTTTGTGGTCACCCCCCATCAAGGTCAAATTGATTAGTCCTGACTAAAGGAAACTTACTGAGTCAGGAGACAAACAGAAGAGATGAACATAAAAAGGCTAAAACCACCAGGTGCCCCATTCAGGGGAAAAAAAGAAAAAAGAGCAGAAAGATAAAGGTATGTAGCTCTCATGATGCATGTTTTCAATTTTTTGAACCAGTTAACTGGGATTTTAACGGTTAAATGCGGTCAACTAATTGCTAACAGAGCTAATAGGGCTGAAATATTTAAACGAATATTCAAATGGTTTGAAAAAAGTCCTTGAATCGTTTTTTACTGATTCAAACTAGGATTTGTTAAATGCTCACTGCAGCTTGTGGCCTGCCTGAACAACAACAAACACATGTTGATCATGTTCACATAATAATAAATAAAACAACTCTTCAAGCAGAAGAAAACTCCCCAGTCACCACTAACTATCCTGTTTATTTATTGCAGATGGCTGCACTGATTATTTTTTACATGATTTGTTCTGTAAAAGTTGGCATTTTTGGTAGTCTACAGTTTTTTATGTCAGTTTAAATTACAATTTCAGAGGCAATTCTAAAATATTATGGATCATGATAAAGATCTATT